AGAGCCGAACCCGGAGTCTGGGAATGCTTGGCAGCGAACTGTCCACCTGGAGTCAGGGCAGCGGGGTAACGTGAAAGGGGTGGGGCAGACCGGGGCCAGCCCTCTCCCTCCCTTCCGTTTCCTCCTTCCCTCTTTAAAACGCAAAGCTGGTGACAGCAAATAGGGTTTCCTTTCTCTTGGAGTCTCTGGAAACTAGTCTTTCTCGGGGTTTGGCAGGAAATGCTGCTCCCCGCTCTCGCTGAAAGAAGAGAAAGCTTCACTCTCTCTAGGGAACTAGACCCCACGCAGGTCCATTTCCCAGCCAAGCTTTTAGCCCATTTGCGCCCTGCCTGTGGCCAGGCATCTGGAGTCTGGAGCAGGATGGGTAAGCAGTGTGGTGCTGAGAGAGGAGTCGTCGGGAAAAGGGAAAGTAAAAGCAGTCCTGGGGTCCTGATCACTTCTGCTCTCCCACTCTTTCCTTGGGGGTGGGTGCGGGGGGGGGGAAGTGCCCTGTCCCGCCCCCCATGCTGCCTGATGAGATGATTTGGCTGGTTAAAAGCTGTGCAGATAGACTACATCATTGACATTCTGGACTAGATAATTCTTTGTTGTGAAAGGCTGCCCTGCGCATTGTGGGATATTTAGCCGCATCCTTGGTCTCCATTCCCCCCTCAACTCCCCCACCCGCCCCAGTCAAGAAACACGAAAAGCCTACAAACATTGCCAGATATCCCGGGGGTGGGGATGGGGTGGTGGTGGTGGGAGTGGGGGTGGCAAAATTGCTGCTAGTTAAGAACCACTGGTCATTTTGTGTGCGGTGGGTATACACAATAGGACAATGGGAATATTAAAAATGTGAGACTATTAAAAAAAAAGAATATATAGTTTCTGTGATGCCACATGCTTTCTCAATTAACTCTTTAAGACTCAGCTCTCCGGAGCCTTCCCTGATTCTATTAGGCAGGGGCCATTCATTTATTTGTTTACCAAATGTATTCATCGCCTGTTACACATTGACAGTATCTCAAATACTAGAGAAAGGAGAATGATTACCACACAATTCTTGTTTTCCAGGGGCTCACAGTCTAGGTCCTAGACTTCCTAGACTCTAGGAAGACAAAGAGCTATAATGCAGCGATAATAAAGGTCTGCATAAAATACCCAGCACAGGGTCTCTGGGGGTCTCCAATGGTTTTTAGGAATTTGCCAACTGGACATGAAGAGACAGGAACAGAAAAGGACATCTCAGGCAGATGGGACAGCGTGCACAGAGGCCCGGGAGCAGAGACTCTATCCTGACCAGCTGTGCTTTCCTGATTTATTAAAATAGTGCCTCATACGTCCATCCGTAGACCGGTGAGTATTTGTCCGAAGAATGAATGATCTTCTGCTATTTCAAAAGAGTGTTCATGCAACTCCCAACAGTTTTAGAAAGTTCAGTTTACATGAAAACCTAAATGCAAACTCAATTGATACCGTTTATTAAGCTCCACTCTCATAGGTATAATTTCCCAGTTCCATATTAAATCTTTATTCAGAAACGTGTAGACGCGGAAGGAGACTGCAGCAGATACCAACGAACTGCCTGCCTGGCTCCCAGGAATTCCTTTTCCTTTGCCCCGCCCTGTACAGAACAAAAATCCTTAGTCATAGTGACCCATGGAGTTTGGGTCCTGTCTCCACTGCTTGCTCAGTGCTGGGGTAAAGGGTATTAATCATTGCATCTGGGCCTGATATCGGCCTTGGAGTTGCTCTGTCCATGTAGGGACCTCAAGGTTTAGTAGGCAGATTCAGGAACAAACCGGGCTCTCAGTTAGTGCTTGCTTTTGCACATGCTCTCCTGGCACCTGAGCGCCGTCTCAAACATTGCAAACACCCCCACTGCAATAGTGGGCTAAGTCTGTTGTATAGTCAGGATCAGAAGGGACACAGAGAACTGAAATCAAATTCTTTTTCTACGGTTCTTCAAGCCTCCAATACTTATCATAAAGAGAACAGTCATCTGCCGGATGCATTGTAGTCCTTTTTTCTGGAATACAGTCCTTCTCTTCTGGCTTACGAAGGGCTCTTGGCGAGTCCAGTCACAAGTGTTCGGACATCACTGGGCATCACCTGCAGAGGTTAAACAGGCTGGAGTCAGCAGACCGGCAAGCAGTCTGGCCACAGGTGGCCCACTACCTGTTTTTGTCTGCCTGCAAGCTAAGAATGTTTCTTACTTTTTTAAGTAGTAGGGGGAAAAGCAAAAGAATATTTTGTGGTATGTAAAAATTACATGACATTAAAATTTCAGTGCCCATAATGAAGTGTCATTGGCACCATCCCATGCACCAGGAGGGTGCAGGCTGTATTCCCAGTCAGAGCACACGCCCAGGTTGCTGGCTGGATCCCCAGTGGCGGTGTGTAGGAGGCAGCTGATGGATGTCCCTCTCATCAATGTTTCTCTTTCTCTCCATCCCCCTTCCTCTCTCTGAAATAAATAATAACATGTTGAAACAGTTTTATTGAATATAGCCATACCTGTTCTTTCACGTATTGTCTATGGCTGCTTCCCACTATGACTGCAGGGTGGTTGTATAGTCCTGACACACACCATATGGCCTGGAAACCTAAACTGTTTACAGGGCTTTTTACAGAAAAAGTCTGTTTAAGCCGAAACCGGTTTGGCTCAGTGGATAGAGCGTCGGTCTGCGGACTGAAAGGTCCCGGGTTCGATTCCAGTCAGGGGCATGTACCTTGGTTGCGGGCACATCCCCAGTGGGGTGTGTGCAAGAGGCAGCTGATTGATGATTCTCTCTCATCGATGTTTCTAACTCTATCCTTTTCTCTTTCTCTCTGTAAAAAATCAATAAAATATATTTATAAATAAATAAAAAAATAAAAGTCTGTTTAAATTTCTTACTCCCAAACTTTATTTATTTATTTATTTAAAATATATATTTTATTGATTTTGTACAGAGAGGAAGGGAGAGAGATAGAGAGAAACATCGATGAGAGTCATTGATCAGCTGCCTCTTGCACACCCCCTACTGGGGATATGCCCGCAACCAAGGTACATGCCCTTGACCGGAATCGAACCCGGGACCTTTCAGTCCCCAAGCCTATGCTCTATCCATTGAGCCAAACCAGTTTCGGCTTACACCCAAACTTTAAAAAAAACTTTTACTTAAAGCTCTCCGTCCAAACAGTTTCTTTACACCAACCCTGGTGATGCTCCCGCAGGATCCGCTCCTGGAGTTTGGTGCCGGGAGGGAGTCTGGTAGCGAGTCCTGCGAACGGCTTGAGCTCACTCAGCTCAGCGGGACAAAGGCGGTGCAGTGAGAGGACCTGCTCTGGCTTGCCTGTAAAGGCTGTGAGTGCAGCCGAGACCGGTTTGGCTCAATGGATAGAGCGTCGGCTTGGAGACTGAAGGGTCCCGGGTTCGATTCCGGTCAGGGGCATGTACCTTGGTTGCAGGCATATCCCCAGTGGGGTGTGCAAGAGGCAGCTGATAGATGACTCTCTCTCATCGATGTTTCTGACTATCTCTCTCCCTTCCTCTCTGTACAAAATCAATAAAATATATTAAAGAAAAAAAAAAGGCTGTGAGTGCAGATCTCTCTGAGACACTTCGGCATTGGGAGGAGAGTGGCAGTCCATCACTTAGTGTCCACGGAAACTCAAGGAGGAACGTAAAACCCTGGAATCAAAGAAAACCAGTTCTCACAGAGCAGGTGATGCAGTGCGTTTGGAAAATCACAAGTCTTAATTTTGTAGCCGTGTCAGTGGTTTGCATCTGAATCATCTGGGGTAAAAAAAAACCACACACACAAAAAACCAAACACACAAAAAAACAGCCCACCAGGCGTGGCTCAGTGGTTGAGCACCGGCCTATGAACCAGGAGGTCACAGGCCAGGTTGCAGCCGGATCCTCAGTGTGGGGCGTGCAGGAGGCAGCTAGCTGATCAAGGATTCTCTCATCATTGATTTTCTCTCTCTCTCTCCCTTCCTCTCTGAAATCAATAAAAAATATTAAACACAAACAAACAAAAACCCGCAGAAACCGGTTTGGCTCAGTGGATAGAGCGTCAGCCTGCGGACTGAAAGGTCCCAGGTTCGATTCCGGTCAAGGGCATGTACCTTGGTAGCGGGCACATCCCCGGTAGCGGGTGTGCAAGAGGCAGCTGGTGATGATTCTCTCTCATCGATGTTTCTAACTCTCTGTTCCTCTCTCTTCCTCTCTGTAAAAAATCAATAAAATATATTTAAAAAAACAAAAACAAAAACACAAAAACAAACGTCTGCTGAAGTGGGCAGCCACTGAACCAGGTAAACGAGCTACATGACATGTGAGTCCTCGCATTCCCTTCCGGCTGACCAGCATCGGACACTATGACACCTCAGGCGACTGAACACATTTCTCGGCTCCTTACAGCGACATTTCCGCACGAGGCGCCACGGCTCCCCGGACGGTCCTCATCAGGACAAACGCAGACACGGGACCGGCGCCCCCTCCCGCCCCTCACTGCAGCGAGGCCTGGACACAGGGGTGTGGGTGGGAGGGAGCAGGGGTCCCGGAGCGGAGGAAGGCGGTGCAGGGGGGAATCCCAGCGCTGCGGGCTGGGGGGACGCAGGAAGCACCGGGGAAGCACCGGGGCCGGGCGGGCGCGGAGCCGCGGGCTCCGGGGCAGGAGCCCCGCGCTCGGCCCGGCGGGGGTGCGGGCAGCCGCCCGTCCAGGACGCGGGGCCGGCGGGGCGGGCGGCCGCGTGCCGGCTGTGGGCGTCCCGGCGAGGCGCTCCGCCCCGGGCTGCAGCCCAGGACCCACCTGCCCACCCGCGTCCGCCCGTCCAGCCTCCAGGGGCTCGGGGCTCGGGGCTCGGGGCTCGGGGCTCGGGCTCGGGCTCGGGGCTTGGGGCTCGGGCTCGGGGCTCGGGGCTCGGGGCTCGGGGCTCGGGGCTCGGGGCTCGGGGCTCGGGGCTGGCGGCGCGCGCGGGGCTGGAGGGGGCGGGGCCTCCGCGCGCTTCCGCCGCGCGCACTTGTTGCCATGGCGACCTGGGACGCCGACCCGAAACGCCCGTCTCTCACCCTCCGGCCGCCGCCGTCGCCGCCTCCAGGGCCGGACCCCGCGCAGGGCGGGGGCGCGGAAGGTCCGGGCAGCCCCGGGAGGGGGAGAGGGGCCGGGGCGGCCAGACTCCTGTGCCCGGAGGCCCAGGCCCCGCCGACCTGGGAGGGGAGGGGAGGGCGCAGGCCTGGGTGCTGGGGGGTCACAGCCCGAAGGGCGCTTTCCCCTGAGACACCGGCCTGGAGGCGGGGCGCTGGGGACCGGACGTTTTTGTCCGAAAGCCCCCCCCCCCCCCCCCCGTCCCTCCGGGCAGCCCCGCCGGGGTGGGCTCCGGTAGCCAGGAAGCTGCAGCCCGGGCCTTGGGTCCGAAAAGGGCTGCAGGAGGACTCCCAGAAGCCAGGCTGCATCCCTATCACACAGCCCCTTATTTCCAAGGGGCTGTGTGGTAGGGGCAGGTGGGAGCCTGGATCTCAGGGGGTCGCGGGTCCGGGCAGAGAGGAACCCCCCCCCCTCCCCCGGCTCTGGGGACAGGAGCAGGAGCCGCGGCGGAGGCCCTGGCTGGGACAGTGCGGATGGATGGATGGATGGATGGATGGATGGAGGGAGGGAGGGAGGGAGGGATGGAGGGCTGACGTTCACAATCCTTTCCTGGCCCGTGGGAGCTCACAGCGTGGACCATTCATTCATTCCGCAGAGGGGAAGGGGATGGGGGCTTCCCGTTACCCACTGAGCTGACGTTCCCGCTTTCCCAGAGGCTCCGCCATTCGGGACCACCACGAGCCACTTAGACAGCGAGGATGTGACCGTGTACAAGAGCCTCCGCCTCAAGAGCTCCAAGGAGTGGCTGGAGCCGCAGCCTCTGTACTTCGTGGAGGTACAGCGGCGGGGCGTCTGGAAGCTCACCCTGGGGTAGCTGCTTGGAGAACTGACTGCCTTGTGTGACATGTAACACTCCCCCTCCCCCCTATGTTTTCTGTTTTATCCTCTCCTTTTTACCACCCTTGTGTTTGCTCTTCATTTTCTTCCAGCTTCTTCAAGGTGGACTCATGGGTCATGGGTTATATACCTTCTCTAACATAACAAGGTTATAAAGTTTCTCTTGAAGCTCACAATATATACAAATTGTGTGTTTTAAAAATTGTTATTTTTTTCTAAACAGCGTTATAAAGGTCTAGTTGATACACATACAATCAATTGCCTATATTTAAAGTGTACAGGCTGATAAATTTTAACGTGCATACCCACATGAAATCACCACCACCATCAAGATAACAGACTGAGTCAGTACCCTCAGAGTTTCTTCATTGTGTCCTCGGCAATCCTTCCCTCCCTCCCTGCCAGCCATCGAGACAATCTCAGATTTGCTTTCTGTCACTACAGTTATTATTATTATTTTGCCCTAGAATGAGTTTAGCTGAAAGCAAGAAGATTCAAACATTCTTTAAATAATACTTTATGATATCATGTTAGGTATAAAAACTGGATTTACAGAGAAATTTTCCAGAGATATGTCTTTACATGTAACATGTAAGTCAAGATAGTATAAATAATTTGTATTTTGAGATTTGACTTTCAAAATTTCATTGTCATTTTAGGCATTTGCCAGAGAAGATATTAATGCAGCCATTAAATCAATATTGTATAGAGAAAATTACATAAATAAGGTAAGAATCGACTATAGGATATATATTTTTTTTTTTGCAAACCAAAACAAGGCTTTTATTGTACATCTTTATAGTTTCACAAACAAGTGTGAGAAATCATTCGGCATCTCGGTGTTTCTATAGTTGGACAACTTAGATCTTATTCATCAGCCTGCTGAACTGTTCCTTTTTCAGAAACATAGATACCATCCAAAAATTTTCTGATATCCTTGTTTTTAACTGTTGTGGCTTGCTGAATCAAAGCAGCTGAATTTGATACAAGTTCAATATCATTTCCTTCAAGAATCAACTCATCTTTCTGGGCTTGAGATACTGAACAAGCAACGCCTGACCTCATCCGAACTCTGCGGATGTATTTTTCGCCCAAGAAATTTCTAATTTCAACAAGAGAACCATTCTCCTGAATAACGACGTTGATGGGGAAGTGAGCGTACACAGACCTCATCTTGTAACGGAAGCCCAGTGTAACACCCTTGATCATGTTCTGTACATGACTGCAGATGGTGCGAACTGTGGCCAGTTCCTTTCTATTGTATTTCCCCACCATTTGTCAACCCGGAGCCTCTTCTTTTTCTTTCCGAGGAGACTGAGCTCCACATGGATGTGGTTGAAGTCCCTCCTCAGGGTGCCTCTGGGGCCCTTCACTATCACGGTGCGCCCCTTCAGGGTGATGTCCACATTTTCCGGGATGTCCACAGTCTGATTGCTGAGAATGGTCTTCATCCTCGCAGTAGATGCGGCAAAGAGCCGACTATAGGATATTTCAATTCTTTTTTTTCTTTTTCTTGCCCAGCTGGCGCGGCTCAGTAGTTGAGTGCCTACCTATGAATCAGGGGTCACAGTTCGATTCCCGGTCAGGCCACAGGCCTGGGTTGCAGGCTCAATCCCCAGTGTGGGGCGTGCAGGGGGCAGCCCATCAATGATTTGTTCTCATCACTGATGCTTCTATCTCTCCCTCCCTTCTTTTCTGAAATCAATAAAAACATATTTAAAAATTTCCCCCTCATTTTTCATGTAGTTCATCATCATTATACAAATTAAAAAACAAGACAAAACACTCATTAGCCCCTCGGATTAAATTTAAGGGGTCTCTGAGGTGCTTTAACTGACTTCCTCTTTTCTTTTACTTTGTGGGGATTCTTTTAAAAAAATATTTTTATTGCTTTTTTACAGAGAGGAAGGAAGAGGGAGAAAGTTAGAAACATTGATGAGAGAGAAGCATAGATCAGCTGCCTCCTGCACACCCCCCACTGGGGATGTACCTGCAACCAAGGTACATGCCCTTGACTGGAATCGAACCTGGGACCCTTGTGTCCGCAGGCCGATGCTCCATTCACTGAACCAAACCAGCTAGTGCTGTGGGATTCTTCCCTCACTGGAGTGGGGCTCTGATGGAGTCACTATGTGGTGTTAAGAGCTTTGAGAGCTGTTATCGGTACATGGCAACCAAGTATTACTCACGTAAACCTATCAGAACAAGACTCTCACTATAGCAGGATGGGTTTAATTCTAAGACAAGGCGAATGTCCATGTGAATGTCCACTAAACACTGGAATAGGTAGCCTATTTTTGTTTTTAAGACTCTTCTGTAGCGTTGTTTAAAAAGGAAAGGGTTGAAGTGTGCTATGACCTGAAGTTTGAGAGGGGCAATCCCGACAAAATAGGAGGATCTCAGGGCTCGCTCCCTCTCTCTCTCTCTCTCTCTCTCTCTCTCTCTCTCTCTCTCTCTCCCACACACACACACACACTTTAAATGTTATGTTGTTGTTCCCAATAATGACATGATTTCACTGGCTCGATGAAGAGCAGTTTTGTGAGAATGGTTGAGTTTATAGCCTGAACCAGGCGTTTTCTTTGCAGGCCATTGGACTAGGCTGTGCTACACTCCTGTCTCTTTGTCTCTTTCCCGCCAGGCAATATTCTTCTTCCACCTTCTCTGTCATCTCTTCTCTTCCTAGATAACTCTTCCTTCTTTAAGGCCCCTCTGAAATGCCTCTCACTTTGGGAAATTTAAAAATATTTTTTTCTATTGTGGGAAAATATATATAGCATAGCATTTGCTATTTTTAACCATTTTAAGCATAGAATTCAGCAAAATTACATTTACTAGTACAACCATCACCACTCTCTATCACCTTAACAGAAACTTTGTACTCATCAAACGATAACTCTTTCTTCCCTCCTCACGCCTCTGCTAACCTCTAACTCACTTTCTGTCTCTATCAGTTTGCCTAGTCTAGATATTTTACATAAGTGCCATCCTACATTATTGGTCCTTTTATGGCTTATCCACTTGGCATGTTGTTTTCAAGGTTCATTTGTGTTGTAGCAAGTGTCAGAACTTCTCCCCCTTTCTGTAGCTGTGTATTATTCCATGGGAGGTATATGCCACGTTTTGTGTATACATTCAACTGTTGATGGGAACTTGGTTGCTTCCATTCTACCTTCTGGCTATTGTGAATAATGCTGCCGTGAGCACTGCTGTACAAGTGTCTGTCTGAGTCCCTGTTTTTAACTACAAATATAAGGTGTCCCAAAAATGTTTACATACTTTAACAGCGGATAGCTTAATTTTGAAAATGAAGTGTATTTTAACAAACACCACCTTTACACTTATTCAAAGCATGTGTAGATAGTTTGGTTTTTTTTTTTTGGAAAAAATATATACCTTGTTATATTGTCCCTCCAGTTGTTTTGTGGCTTTGTTTTCTAGGGTGTCTGTCCATGGACAGCTGGCATGTTGTCTCATTTACCCATTATTCCTTTGCCCAGTGTAGTGTGTGTGTGTGTGTGTGTGTGTGTGTATGTCACACAGTTTAAGCCGAGTAAATGACTGGATTAACGAATTACTTTGTGGGCTATTCTTAGGAATAGAAATGAAGTTTAAGGTTTAAAACAAGAAAGATTTCAGCACTAACCAGTTTGGCTCAGTGGATAGAGCGTGTGGTCATGGGCATGTATCTTGGTTGCGGGCACATCCCCAGTAGGCAGCTGATCAATGGTTCTCGCTCATCCATGTTTCTAACTCTATCCCTCTCCCTTCCTCTCTGTAAAAAAATAAAATAAAAATATATTAAAAAAAGAGAAAGAGTTCAGATAACATATTTATCTCTTACACATACTTATCTAATTCTCTTGCACTAGGAATTAGATAAATATTTACAATATCACGACTTCTTAAACACGAGGAGAAAAGAGATGTTATACAAGAGATGGGTTGACCACGTGGCCGGTCCTCTCCAGAGGAAAATCATGGAGAAAGTCTGTTCACATAAGAAGATTAAGAAAAGGAGACACCAGGAATTAGACACCTTCTTAAAATACGTCAATAAAAAGGTATTAAGAGATCATCTGACACTCCCCCCCACCCCCAGTTGGTTTAAAAACGATGGTTATCTTTATTTATAATCACTCAAACAGACTGCCCCTCGCCACTTTATATACGAGTAATCTGTATTTCATTACAGCACGCACTACTTTGAAACCCAGGGCATGTGGAACAGATGAGGGAGGAGGAGCGTTATTCTGGTTTTAATGGGTACCTTAGAATCAGTTTTCTTTGTTGTGCTCAGGTAATTGTTAATTTTATACACACCAATTTAAAATTTTTGAACTCTAGGTTCAGAACATACACACATATATATATTTTTTTCTGGAATTCTATTACTTACAAGGCTATAAAATATTTGTGTTCTCTTGGCATTTTTAAGAGATCTGAGATATTTGACTAGTAGGCATTAAAAAACAAATCCCCAGATCTTTTAGTGTGCCAAAATTCTTTATTAAGATCTTACAAATTTTAAGTGAATTCTGCCCATCACCATAGTGTTTATTACTTGAATACATTCAATTTAATTTAGAACCTGGACTTCCCTTCCCTCTTGCACTTGTTATTGAAGCCACTCAGCAGCAGTAAAATGGGTTTGTGTGTGTGACGCGAGTCCTGTTACGTTCAGGATGAGTTGTGCACCTCTTGTTCTTATGTGTGGCTTATGTCCTTCCTCTAGGGAAATGCATTCATAGAGCATTATGATCCCAAAGAGTATGACCCATTTTACGGACACAAAGAGGACCTGGATTTCCTGAAGGTAGGAGAGATTTCTTATTTTAACTTTGGTGGGATGTCTTATTTTTTAGCTTTTTTGATACGTGAGTTGTCTTCTTAATGTATGGTATAATCCTGTTCTTAAGAATACATTCATCTTAAGAATAGTTTCCCATCTCCCTGTCTTAGAAAGGAACAAGAAAGCGGAAGTCCTAATTAAAGTAAACCTCTGTAAAATTTGAAAATATTGTATCATGATTGGGTAATAGGTTAATGTTTAAAATTGTCATAGACTTTTAAATGTGTCACAAAAGAAACACATTTTCATGATAAAAATAAATTGTTAAACAATTTAAAAACCACCCAGAATGAACTCATTAACGCTTTTCTCTATATCTTTTAACATTTCTTTCTACATATAGGTATAAACACACCTTTTTTTTTTCTTTTTACAAGAATAGGATTATACCATACATTGTTATGTAACCTGTGTTTTTCTGTAATAGTTTATGATTTGCATCTTTGTTAACATATGTAAATATATAACTTTAATAATTGCTAATTGCATGGAATTCTATTATTAGTAGCAGCTATCTTGCACTGAAGGATTTTCTAAATGTTAGACCTTTTTTTTCTTTCATTTTATTTTATCTTCACTGCTACCATGTCAGATAATTTACAGATGAGACAAATAAGATACAGATAGGTTATGTTACTAATCCAACGTCACACAGCTGCAATAGCATAGATGTGTTTCTAACCATATCTGGTACCTTGCTAAGCCATCATTATTTATTTATTTATTTATTTTTACATATTCCATTTTAATTGTCTAGATTGTTTTTTAAAAAATTTTATTGGCCGAAACCGGTTTGTCTCAGTGGTAGAGCGTCGGTCTGTGGACTGAAAGGTCCCGGTTCGATTCCGGTCAAAGGCATGTACCTTGGTTGCGGGCACATCCCTGGTGGGGGGTGTGCAAGAGGCAGCTAGTTGATGTTTCTCTCTCGATGTTTCTAGCTCTCTCTCTCCCTTCCTCTCTGTAAAAAATCAATAAAAAATATTTTTTTAAAATTGATTTTTTTTTTTACAGAGAGGAAGGGAGAGGGATAGAGTTAGAAACATCAATGAGAGAAAAACATTGATCAGCTGCCTCCTGCACACTCCCTACCGGGTATGTGCCCACAACCAAGGTACATGCCCTTGACAGGAATCGAACCTGGGATTTCAGTCCGCAGGCCGATGCTCTATCCACTGAGCCAAACCAGTTAATATGACATTGTGATGAACATCCCTGTAACTATTTATTAATTTTTTCAGTAAGTTGCTAGAAGCAGAATTGCTGAGTTAAAGGTTAAGCCTGATTTTGATTCATATTACCAATTTTTTCTTCTGAATGTTTAAATTTGCACACTTTTACTAATAATGGATATTGTTAAACAAAATTTTAAAATCTACGTTAAGTAATAGACATTTTAAACTGCTGTCATTTGTATGCAAAGTAGATCATTTTTTTTCCTCCTCCCAAGTTGGAGTATGTGTCTGTGTGTATATAATTTCCCCATTATTATAGGGGAAAGTTAAACTGAGAGTTTAGAATAAGAACCTTAGATATACTAATTAGTAACAGCTAGGATGGGGGAGTATTGAGATTTGAAACCAGATCTTTTTGATACCAATTTCTATTTTGTTCTTTTACCACCAAAGGCCTGGTGCACGAAATTCGTGTGTGGTAGGGTCCCTAGGCCAGGCCAGAGATCAGAGCCGATTGGGGCCTCTGGCTGCTGGCTGGGGCCTTCCCTCTTGTTCTGCACCATCCCCTGGTGGTCCTGGTGGTCAGTGCACATTATAGCGAGCAATCCAACTCCCAGTCTCCCCGTTGAACTCCCAAGAGGACACTTTGCATATTAGCCTTTTATATTTATATTTATGCTGCCTTTCTAAATGCAGCTGGCAGGTGACCTCTTAAGGTAAGCCGAGCACTTTGAGGTTAGAGCACTTCACCAGTTCTCAAAGTGAAGAACATAGACCTCTGGGAGCCTGAAACCTCTTTTGGGGTCTATCAGGCCGTATCTTTTCATAATAGAGCCAAGTGTTTTTGCCTTTTTCATTGTGCTGACATTTGCTCTGATGGTACAAGAACAGTGGTGCATAAAATGGCTGATGCCTTCCTTAGAATAGCTTGAGTCAGTGTTACCAAATTATAAGAAGTCATTATATTCTTCATTGCCATGCGCCCACAGTAAACAAACAAACAAACAAACAAACAAAAAACCAGTTTCACTGAAGAATATCTTTGATCAAACAGTAAAAATTAACTTTATCAAATCTTGATCCTTGAGTACATCTTTTTAATAGCATGGAATTGGAGTATGCAAAGAGCCCACAGCTGCAAATGGAGCTGCAGTGGGATTGCTGAAATTGTGAGCTGGACTGGCTGATCTTTCTCATGGAACACCGTTTTTAGCCAACAGAACGGCTTACAAAACTATGGTTATTAAATCCCTGGCATTTGGCAGACATATTCTGGAAAATTAGCAAGGCAAGTCTGTCACCTCAAAAACAACAGACAGTGCTTGTTGCCAGTGATACAATGTGAGCTTTTAATTTGAATGTTGGAGCAGTCATAGTCAATGTGACAGTGTCCCAATACTGAAAGGCTGCACTGATGAGCTTGGTAATAATATTAGTAAAGTGGTTACTGTATAATAAAATGTATTAACACTTGGAAGATCTCACATAACTCACAGATCTGATTATTTTCAAACCATCAATTCATGATGTGGATAAAAGATCCATTCAAAGTTCAAGGCAGACCACTGGGCTTTATTGTAGCAGTTTGAATAATTCATTGATATGGTTTCAGATGCTACATTATAACTAATTGGTAAGGAACTGCCACTTGTTGAGTTTGGGTATAGTATCTAGAATAGCCACGATGACCTGGAGAGGCTATTGAAATGAACTAACCAGGTTGGAAGGCCTTACTAAGAGATGTATCGGAATGCCCCTCCTCTTTGTGATGTGTTAAACAAATGTAATGGTTAGACTGCCATTGTTTGTAGACACTGTATTCTTTTACTACTTATTTGTATTGATTTCAGAGAGGGAGAAGGGAGAAAGAGATAGAAACACCAATGATAAGAGAGAATCACTGATCAGCTGCCTCCTGCATGCCCCCTATGGGGGATAGAACAGGCAACCAGGCATGTGCCCTTGACCGGAATCGAACCCGCGACCCTTTATTCCTCAGGCTGACACTATCCACTGAGCCAAACCAGCTAGGGCTGTAGATACTGTATCCTTGATTCTTCTAGCATAAGAGTCATAAATGGATGTTTCGGATAGACTGAGAAAGACCTGAAACCCAGTCCTCAAAGAAATATGTTTTTTTAAATGTTTTAAAAAATATTTTTACAGAGAGGAAGAGAGGGGGATAGAGAGTTAGAAACATCGATGAGAGAGAAACATAGATCAGCTGCCTCTTGCACACCCCCCACTGGGGATGTGCCCGCAACCAAGGTACATGCCCTTGACTGGAATCGAACCCGGAACCCTTCAGTCTGCAGGTTTACGCTCTATCCACTGAGCCAAACCGGTTTCGGCAGAAATATGTTTTTTTTGTAGGTTACCATCCCACCATTTCGTGACCCTTTGAAAAAGGCACAATATGACAAAGATGACGAAAAGAGAACTCTTCTTCAGTGTGAGACTGGTACGTAGATTCCAACTGTTAACGTGATCTCATAAGTCAAGAGCAATGACAGCTGCACTTAACGGTGCTAATTTATACTACTGATCTTCTTGCAGGCAAAATACATACAATGAAAGAATATAAAGAGATTGAGAAGGCCAAACTGTATTGTAGATTTCCACAACTTTCTAATTCAAGGTGCTTTGTGACTCCAAATGATTGGCTTAAACTGTCTACAAGCTACATAGAAAGTGACTTTTGCAAAAGGAGCAGGTAATGGTTAATATTGTAGAAATTATGGAACCCATTGGGGATTAGAAAACTAGTAATATCAGTTTTGTCATTGTTATTATTTTTAAATTTTTGGTTTTTAATGAGAAATCTACTGTAATTCTTGTCTTTGTTTCTCTGCATGTGATGTTTCATTTTTCTTGGGTACTTGCAAGATTTTCTCTTTGTCTTTGGCTTTGTGTCCCCCCCCCCCTTTTTTTTATCCTACTTAAAGCTCTCTGAGGTTCTTATATCGGTGGTTTGATGTCTTTCATTATTTTGAGAGAAATTTTAGGCCATTATCACTTCAAATATTTCTTATATCCTATCCTTTTTCTTCTTCTTACAACTTTATGTATGTTAGAGCATTTGATATTGTCCCATAACTACATAGATCCTTGAGTACACCTTTTTAATAGCATGGAATTGGAAGTATGCAATTCTTAGATACTGTTCTTTTTTTTTCTACTTGTATTTTAATTAGATAATTTCTACTGACCTATCTTTAAGTTCATGAGTCTTTCCTCATATACTGAAGAGCCTATCAGAGGAATTGTGATGATTTTTATTTCTGTATTTCCATTTTATTAAAAAAAATTTAAAAATATATATTATTGATTTCAGAGAGGAAGGGAGAGAGATAGAAACATCAATGAGAGAGAATCATTGATTGGCTGCCTCCTGCATGCTCTCTACTGGGGAGGATTGAGCCCGCAACCTGGGCATGTGCCCTTGGCCAGAATTGAACCCAGGACCTTTCAGTCCCCAGGCTGATGCTCTATCCATGGAGCCAAAGTAGCCAGGGCATGATTGCTTTAATCTCTTGACAGTGGGTTATTTTATCTTGCCTTCCCACTCCCGCTCCCTTTTTTTTTTTTTTTTTTTCATTTCTTGTAATTTTTGATTGATTGTCAAAAAGATCTGAAGCCCAGTCCTCAAATAAATTTTTTTTGTAGATTATTTTGTCTTGCTTTTTAGACATGTCTTGTGATTTTTTATTTATTTATTTAATGCTTTTTTTGGACATACTAACATAGGACACACTTTTGCTAATCTAGATCTTTCTTTTGTTTTACTCAAAACATGTCAAAATCCACATTTTCTGGGGGAAAACTCATTCTGATGAAGTCAGACCAGACGGATCCTTCCCATGAGTTTTGGTGTGTGACCATTTGCATGCTGAGTGTGCTGAGTATGTCAGATAGAAGAATGGCCAGGACACTTGGTTTCACGCCCTTGAAGCCATCCTGGAAAACGATTCCTTTTTTTTTTTGAGGACGTACACTGCTCACAGTCACTAGGAGGCCCTCAGAAACAAGGCTTGGTTTCGGGAACAACACCCAAAGTCCCGGTGCAGAACCGGCAGGTGGAGGGGGGCGCTGTCTGTGATGAGGAAGCTGCAGGGCCAGGCAGGTGCCGCCCCAGCTGTTGGCCTCGGAGCCACGCCGGCTCTGCCACAGTCCGTGCCAGCAAACGGGTGCCCTTCAGAGGGCCAGTGTCCATGTTCCCATCACTTCTGAGCGGGGGCACCCTGCGGGCTGCCTGGGCACCCGTCTGCCACCGATGGCAAGGCGGCCCGTGCAGTGGAGTGTTTGGGTCTCTCTTGGAGACACACTTCCTATTTCTATAAATGGCACAACCTCTATGGCCTCCTTTTACATGAGAGTCTACGCTGCCTCGCCAAGCAGGTTCTCAGTAAGGAGTAGACCAGCCTCCGTCCTGGTTTCAGCAGCTCTCACAGGCCTAAGACGTCACACAAGTTTAAGGTGACCAGACGTCCCGATTTTAAACAATTTGTGTCAATTTAACAATTTAACAATTTGTGCCAATTTAACAAATTTTAACAATTTTTAACAATTTTTTGGAAAAAAATCGGGACTTTCTTAAAACGCCGCAGGATGCGGAACAAATTGTTAAAAATCGGGACTGTGCCAAAACCGGTTTGGCTCAGTGGATAGAGCGTCGACTTGCGGACTGAAGGGTCCCGGGTTTGATTCCAGTCAAGGGCATGTACCTTGGTTGCGGGCACCCCCCCAGTAGGGGGCGCGCAGGAGGCAGCTGATCGATGATTCTAGCTCTCTATCCCTCTCTCTTTCTCTCTGTGAAAAATCAATAATTATATATATATATATATATATATATATATATATATATATAAAAAAACATCGGGACTATCCCGCCAAAAGCGGGACGCCTGGTCACCTTACACAAGTTTGAAGTGACGGTGTTTTAGACCAGTTGGCTGCCGAGCTTTCGGACCTCACACACCACCAGCTGGTGACCCCCGTTTTAGACAGCAGATGCAGCGTCAAAGGTTGACAGTCATTTCTGAAAGAGTATATAACCAGTATTGTTTTTTTGCCAACACCCTCACACATGCCATCTCGTCACAGGCTGAAGGTGAAGACTAATTTTAACGCTAGTAGTTTTGACTTGCAACACGTGGTCAGAGTTCCTCACGTTCGGGGATCCCAGGAAGAAGACAAAATACTTCTTTGCAAGTAAGTCTGTTCTGCCGTGGCCCGGCTCTGCCTTCGCGTGAGATGCTTGGCTGTGTTTCCGCCCTTTGCCATCCTTTTCGCGCTGCCGGAGCCAGAGCCCAGGCAGGTGCCACACCTCCCGCCCGGCGCCTGGGTGCGGTGGCAGCTTTCTGCAGCTTGTCCTGGTTTTCAGGAACAGGTAGCGAACACATCCAGAAATGACAAGCACAAACATAGAAAAAAAAGGTTCACGACTCGTGTTGGGTAAAAGTGACTTGAATTGGGCAGTAAGAGTGTGGTTTTTGGACTGGTTTTGTGGGGTAGTAGCTGCTACAGTTGGGTACCCAGAGGGAGGAGGCGTTATAAGCAGGAAGTGGAACGTACTACCGTGTGTGTAACCTGGGAGACAGCGCCGGAAGCTGACGACGGAGTTAAGAGAAAGATACTTCTCTACATGGTTACGGGACCTGTTAACTATCCGATTAAGTTATGAGAACCCCAGACATTGCTGGAGGGAATGTAGAACAATGCAGTAACTTGGAAGAACGGTTTGGCAATTTCTCAAAAGGTTACACATTAGATTATCATGCGACCTGGGAACTCACCTCCTACCTAGGTTTCTGCCCCGGAGAAACGGAGACATTATTCACATAAAGACGTGTCCCGGGTGCGTGTTCTCACCACCATGCCTCCAATTTGCAAACAGCCCAGGTGCTGCTCATTCGCTGGCGAGTGGCCAGAATGCGGTGCATTTACACAGGGAATGCTACCTGGCAATTAGGAGGAAAAGAAGTTCTCATACAGCCTGGTGAACACCAAGACTGTTACACTCAGGGAAAGGCAATCACAAGTCACCTGTTGTTTGATTCTCTTCATGTGACGCTTGGAAGAGGTAAATCTACAGAGGCAGGAAATAGGTTATTGGCTGCCCAGGGCTGGGGCTGGGAACGGAGAGTGATTGTCGGGGCCCATGAGGTCTTGGTCTGAGGGAAATGTTCTGGAACAGACCGTGGTGGTGACCGCGCAGCTCCGTAAACACACTAACCGTCACTGGTGCGTACGCCTCACATGGGGAGTGAATCACACGTCAGTAAAGCTGTTAATGGGGAGAGGCTCTATCCAGGCAGGAGGAAGGTGAGCTCGTATGCCGCTGTTCAGGAAGCTGGCCTGCCGCTGTCTGTTCCTGGAAAGCCCCAGGGAACGGTAGCAGGTCCCCTTTCCCTTTCCCTCGGAGGCTTTGAACTTGATGAATAACTGTGTGGCAGGAGCCGAGGGCTCTCAGAGGTGCTTGATGCCGGCGTGTCCAGCAAAGAGGCCAACCCTGCCTGGCGGGGAGGGGCTCAGTGAGTTAAAGATGGCTGTGGTGGGTGGGGCGGCCATCGCGGTTTGCTGCTTGTGGATGGAATGGACGGACGTTGAGGAGTAATAGGAAGTATTGGGCCAAGCCCTACTCACGCGTAGCGGCAGCCTTAAGAGACGGAACGACCCAGAACCACTCTTGTATATGAGGGTCCAAATGAGTAAGTTCCTCCCGCCCCGAACCGCCATGGTCTCAGACAGACCTGTGCGGGCCCGGTTTTGGGGTAATGAACATCTTCATCCCGTTTCACCCCTGCATGTGCTGTAAGAGGAGGAGAGTTTTGTCCTCAAATAGCTCTTCTCGCAGTGAGCCCAGGCAGGAAGGGAAACGTAGCGTTGCTGAAGTACAATTGCAGGGGCTTCTCTTTTAGCCTAGAGGTGTAAGCCTGTGAACTGCCCCGGAAGGAAGAGGAGGAAGTTGAAGTTGAGGTTCTCTTCCACAAACAGGGGAGGCACCCCGCACATGGATCCGGGGGGAGATGGTACGTTCGCCCAGTGGCGGCCCTGTGAGAGGGACGCGGGCTCAGCTGGTGAGGCAGCAGCGAGGTTTCAGGTGAAAATAAGACCGGAGGAAGGCCCTGCTCCATACCTGGATTTCTTTTTCGTAAAAACATGCACTTTCCTATCGACCGCATCCACCTCAGACTGAAGGAGAGAGTTCAATGCTGATGGCTGAGGGGACCCTCTCCTCTCCGGCTCCTCCCTGCAGGAAAGGAAGGGCGTGCTCGCTGGGGAAAGGACGGCACCATTCTCAGCAGGAAAAGCGTCCGAGTGGCCAGGAGGCCAAGGCTGACAGGCCCTCCCTGAGCCTCGGCGCGGAGGCCGAGCGGAGGGAAGACCAGGATGCGGTGAGAGCTGGGCAGGTCCGGGTGCATGGCACCGGGCAGGGGCTGCTGACACCAGAACCTGGGCAGCTGGGAGCTTGTGTGCGGCAGGATTTCAGGGAGAGAGGAGGCAGCAGACTCCCCAGATCCTCAGACAAAGCAAGGCGAGGGGGCGGCCAGGAGAGGCCGAGGCTGCTGCCCTGATTCAGGGGGAGTGGCGCTGCGCTGGGAGCTGCACCTGGGGTGCCCCCTGGTGGGTGGCCTGGAGGGTTCCCAGCTCCCTCCGGAGTGCCCTCCTCTCTCTCCACCTCTACCACCTCTACTGTCTCCCTCAGTCACTCCCAAGCCAGGCTCAGCGTTTTGTTCCTCATAGTTCAGCCAGGATAGAACGTGTTCAGAAGGACTATATACTAAATTTAAGTAGTAAACTTGACAGAGTAAAAATCCTGGAGTGTACAATGTATAGAAATAAGTGTTTACTGAGAGCAGATTTCTCATCGTAAGGTGCTCGTTAAACTTGGTGCAGGACCATGGGGACGGGGGATCCACAAATAATATCGCACACGATAGGACTGGCTGTGTCCCCAAACCTCTGCACGGGTCTGAATCCAGCCAGAGGGAGGCAGGCTCAGGACCAGCCTCTCTGGCTGTCTCCGATCCCTGCGCTCACTTACCGGCCGCCGCTGGGGGGTGACGGGCTCTGGCAGCTGTCGGCCGGCCTCTCAGGAGGCCCAGGCGGGAGCCCCACCTGCTGGATGGGCCACTCAGCTGGGGCGGGAGGACTGCCCTCAGGCCACCAGCTCGGCTTAGCCCAGGGGCTATGTGCTCTGTGCGCCCCGCATCCCTACTCCACACCCACCTCTTCCTGCACCGTCACCAGGTTCTGGCAGCCACGGAGCACACGCCCTGACTCCGGACCGGCCAGGAGGACGCAGAGGATGGACGGCTGCTGTGGAGGAGGCCACCTGCCAGCAGGCGTCGTTGGCGCTCGGGAGCCGTCCTGGATCTGAGAAAAGTACCTGCAATAAACCTCCCTTACTGTCCGAGTTCAGTGTCTGTGTGAGAACGGAGGAACCACGCCTCCAGGTACTGGAATTGTTGGAAGGGTGTTCCCCAGAGGCTAAGAAACTGGCAGAAAGATGCAATACAAACCCACAGCCCCCTCCCCAGCCATCTCAGCGCTCAGTCTCCCTGGGTTAAGGGGCGCTGCCTTCCGTCGGGTCCCCTTAGGATCCTCCCCCCCTTCTCCCCAGGCTCCTTCAGCAGTCCTTGGGAAATGGGACCATTCCCTGAGATTCCCAGGGGCGGGTTCTGGTCCCCACGGCCCCAGGCTCCTGTGGAGTTGGACTCCGGGCCCAGGAAGACTGAGAGGGCAGAGCAGGACCTGGAGGCAGAGGCGACCCTGGAGGCCGCTGCTCCCCTCCAGTCTAGCATCAGGGAGGCCGGGCCCGGAAACAGTGGGTCCCTGGGCAGGTCCAGCCGAGGCCCCGGCCTCCCCAGCGCCCTCCACCCCAGCGGCCCCTGGCCCCCCCCCCCTCCCTCCCGTCCCCGAAAGGAAACTTGGTTCCATTATAAGCAGCCGTTCACGTCGGAAGGCAATCCATTGGTCAAGCCCCGAGAGAAGTGACATTCATAAACTTATAGTTTTATTCTCTTTCTGTACACGTTGGCAATGACAAAGCTTAAAGATGCATGTCCTATGAAATATGCAAAAAAAAAAAGAACCCCAAGGAATTTACATAAATAATTTATACTTCAGAAAAATTAAAGTTGAAAAATATGTTCCACGTCATTAGCGTTCACAGTATGTAAAGTAAATCAAGCTTTCCCCCTTAGATTTCCGACCACATTGTCTCAGCAGAGCAGGACACATCTGACCAGGAGCTGGAGGAGCGCGCCTGGCTTTGTTCAGTGCACGAGCGGCCGCTGTTTCAGCGCCAGGCCGGCCCCGCAGCCCTCCCCCCGGTCCTCGGCCTCCTGAGTGGCTGTGACCCGCAGCGGGCACCGGGCGTGGGATGGGTCCGGCGGCACCGGAGCCGCCCCCCGCGGACGCCCCCAGCCCGGTGGTCCGATGCCCCGGCTCCCCCCAATACTTGTGAGAGCCCTGAAAACGGGAGCCGCGGCATCCAGGCACAGCCCGGCCTGTCGGCACGGATACAAGGCACTGTGCTGCGGGGCTCGGTTTACTTACAGGGAAGGCGTTTGCATAGATGGCTAGCGATTCAGTGTGCGAGAAACTACAGGCCCCAGCGCGCGTGCGGCCTCAGCGATGGGTGAAGCGGAGCGCCCTCCTCCCGCCAGGGGGCAGCAGCACCGTCTCCCGGCCCCGGCCCCGCCGAGGCCCCTACAGCAGAGTTTTCTGCTCAAAGAGCTGCAGGTCAAAGCGGACCCAGACCTCCCCGGTGGGGACCTCGTGCAGCAGGAGTCGCCGGGTGGTGGGGCCTTTGCTTTCCTGTTCGGTTCGGATCTTCGCCACCGGAATCTCAGTCCGACCCAGGAAATCTGGGGATAAACGTGAGAGTCAGAAGCCTCCTAGATGAAGCTGGTGGAGAAGCTAGCCCAGGGGGTGTGTCTGAAACAGGAATCAGACAACTTTCCAATCCCAAACAAGCCGCTGCCTCGGGTCCCCGGCTGGCTGGGCTGTGAGTGGAGGCGTGGTGAGGGCAGACCCCCGTCTGATGAGGAGCCTGCCCGGAACCCCCAACCCCCGTCGGATGGGGAGCCTCTCACCCCTCCGGCAGGTGCGTGGGGCACCCAGCCTCTCTGATCCACGTGGGGAGCGTCTCTAACACCTCCACACCCTGAGGCTGCCGTCCCCAGGAGGCGCCCGCACAGCTGGGCGAGGCATGGCGACGACGGAGGGCCCGTGCCGCCTCCCTGGGGTCTGTGGGAGGGGATGCGGGCGCCCCGGCGCCCACCCGGGGGCTGAGGTCTGGGCGAGGTCTACGTTACCGTCGGGAGAGAACTGGTCCCTGTCGAACATGGTGAGACACAGCACGTCCTGGTACAGGTCCTTGATGAAGAACTGGCAGTTGAAGTTCCACTTGGGGTTCAGGGTGTCCGGGAGGGTCCGCGTGGTGTAGCTCTGGGAGCCCATGCTGATTTCACAGTACGGGTTGCTCTTTCCTGAACCGGGACACACAAGGACACAGGTGGCACAGACCGGGCAGCGGGCTCTGCCCTGGTCTCCCTGTCCCCATGGCCGACAGGACCATGACCCGGGAGTGACCGACCGTGTGGGCTCCAGTGGCCCAGCCGCTCCCCCGAGCCCAGGCAAGCGTCAGTGCAACTTGCTTCGCGCTTTCTCCACCCAGAGGCACCGAGGGGAGGCAGCGGGGAGCCATGGCAGTAACATTGGCCCAAAAGCCATTTTAGTGGCATTGGAAACATGGCTTTAAAAGCATCCATTATCCGATGCGCAGATCATCGGCAGAGAGCGGGGCCGTCACGCATCTCTTCAATGAAGGAAGCGTTTACCGTTTGGTTTGCAGGCTTTTAGTTCTGTCGCTTCGATGACATGCACCATCAGACGCCCGATGCCCGTGGTCTTTTGCGAGCGAGCTACAAAACAGGAAGACGAGCCACGTTAACGCATCCTCTGAGAAGACAGACGGCAGATGCAGCGGTGACGCTGAGCTGTGCACACTCACAGGCGGGCTTTCCGACCACCTTCACGCTGCCCGGCCGCCCCTGCCTCTGCCCTGGGCCCAGCGGACCGGCGTCTGGCTGCTCCGTGCCTTTGCCCAGGTCACATGGCCTGGCATCTCTGCCCATTGGCACCTGACTCATCCTTCAAGATGCAGGTCCAATCTCACGCCTCACCATCCAGACCCCTTCCCTCCTCTGAGCCTCCATTATCCCTGGCCTCTGAGCGTCCCCAGGCGGCCCAGGCCCGAAGCTCTATGTTATGTCCGTCTCCTCCGCTAGGGGGAGCCATTGCAGAGCACAGACTATTGACTCGCCTTGTACCAACCCCTCAACGGACCAACAAGCGGTAATATTAATAAAATTACGGCACATTCTATCCGCTCAGCACGTGGGTACCTACTACCATTTATTGGATACTTACTTACTCTGTGCCAGACCTTTGTGTAAGGTATTTACACTGCACGGCTGCCCTGTGTCAAGGTAGCGCTTTGTAACGGTCTCTCCGGGTGTGAGAAAAAGAGCGAGGGAAGGACTGAGCTGCTAAATGGCAGGCCGGAGCTTAGACATCAGATGCCAAAGTCTATTTCCTGAAGGACTGACCGAACTTCAATGACATGCAAACACTTCAGCTTACAAAGCAAGTTTCGCTGAAGACTTTATTTAAGGAGGTTCTAAAAAAATGCTTTTCATACCGAGAGAAATGAGTCCGGGAACTCTAGACTACCTTAGTAAGTCTGAAGCTAGTTAAGCAGGTTTTGTTCTCAGGGTTTTTAAGAAAACGAACAAAAAGTCTGCTTGGCAAACTCCTGATGTTTCAGAGCTCAGGGCAGGGAGAACCTGCGCTGTGGGCAGGGGCCCCCCTCCCCTCGGTGCCCACGCCGGTGGGCCGGGCTGGGCCCGTTCAATGCTGTCGGCCCCATGAAGCCTCGCGTGGGTCCTGGCACAGAGTAAGTAACCAATAAGTGTCTAGAGAATTAAACACGTGGAAAATGCATATGGACAGGTATTGATGTTAAGCAAAACTGACATGGAGAAACTTTGATTTACATCTTTGACCAATTAAGGGATCTTTGTATGCTTTATAAGTGATTCAATCATTGATTTCCCAGTAGCAAGCCTTTAACATACCATTAAAACAAGACACAATTAGTAGGAGCCGAGTTACACATACCTTTCAGGAGTATGTAACAAAATAAGGAAAACCTGAATAAAAAAACATATAAAGAACTGCAGCTACAACAGCCAGGGACACACATGGGGGACTGCCTGGAGGAGGCGGCGGACAGGGTTTCAAAGGTGAGTTGTTCAATTAGGCAACTGCACGGGCCCGGAGTTTAGGGTAAGGACTTTGACCTTAACTTGGGCGGCAACAGGGAAGATGCTTGAGGAGGGAGAGGGATACTGAGAGCAGATGCTCAGAGATGAAGGGCCGTGATGGGGCCATGGGGGACTCGTGCTACAGCCTGGGTGGGGACTGTAGGGGCTGTGTCACCGGGAAAGGAAAGGACCAGGTAAATGGGAAAGAGAACAGTGGGGAGCTGCTGACTAGAGGTGTGTGTGTACTGGGGGCAGTGGGTGAGGGGCCCCGGGAGGCCCCCGGGGGGCCAGAGGGGGGCAGAGCAGCTGAGCTTTGGGGTATGATCCACAGCAAGTCTGGCCTTTCACCCCTCGAGATTGCAACTGCGTCCTGAAGGTAAGGACCCCCACCCTTCTCCCCAGGGCCCCCCAGGGTCTGGTTCCAACCGTCCAGGGCATGGCCGACTACCTTGATAGGCCTTCTCTCGTTTCTTCTTCTCCGTGTCGATGTACTGCTCCGAGGCGGCCTTGATCTTCTGCACCCAAGCGGTCCTGGGGGAGGCAGAGCACAGCACCGCCCAGTCAGCTAGGAGCCGCCGCTCGGCACCCGCTCTCCTCTCTGGCTAACCTCAGCTTACACAAGTTTCCAACCACAGACTTAATATTCGCTCAACCCAAAGACTCGTTTGCTAACTGAGGTCCAGCACACCATTTCTAGACAGTCCTGACCACTTACAAAAGGGCGGGCCTCGCTCTGGCCTCGCTCTGACCCAGTAGGTACGGCAGGCCTCACTCTGACCCAGTAGGAACGGCAGGCACTGCGAGGTGCCGCACGCAGAGGGAAGATGCAGCTGCCTCAGTGGCGTTCAGCGGTGACGGGTCCCCGCACACTGGGCTGTGCACCCCTTTGCCATCACAGAGGCGCTGTCTGAGCGCCGCCCTAGAGGCCGCCTGGCTGGCCGGGCAGAGCGGGGAGGACGGCGGCCCACACGGGTCCCGCTGGTCCTGTGGGTGTAGCGATGGGACTGTGTCCCAGAGGCGCCAGGAGGGCCCCTGGAGCCCTGAGGAGCCCTGGCTGCTGCCTGAGGGTTTCAGAGGGCGTGCGTGTGGGTCTGCCCTGGGGAAGGTGCTGTGTGAGGAGGCGGCTGCATCAGCCTCCCCGGGGCCGGGGCAGGCACTGGTCATAGAGGCTGAGCACACACAGTCAGCGGGACCCGAGCAGGGGCTGGAGTTGGTGTGAGGCAGAGGGAGGTGCCCAGCCTTCCCCCTAGACATCCGAGCAGCGCCCATGGGGACAGGACTGACCTCTCGTTAATGTTGTCCGTCCGGAGGGTGTAGACCCGGTCGATGTGAGAAATGTGGAAGACAGGCTCCTCGCTCGAGGGGTCCGTCGGCAGCTTCACCAGGACTTCGTTCAGGAAGATGGGCTGAAAGGGCGAGGCCAGAACACAGGCTGGGAGAGGGGCCGGGACCCTGCCCCTTCGCCTGGCGTTCTGTGTGTTCTCAAGAG